ATAGGCAAAAGCAAGATGGTCCATCTGCCCTCTGTCTGTCTAGCTCTCCAGGTCTTACATTGACTGTATGATTAAGTCAGTACTTTCCACAAAGGTGGCCTCACTTAAAATGCGGGGCTTCTTTTCAAGGCTAGGAGGGCAGCAGGAAAGAAGGGGGAGGTGAGGGAATCAAACATCTTCTCCACCCGAGAACCAATGATAGTCTTCTTCTTCCTTCTTCCTCCCCTTTTCCCTTTAGCAATGTATTCATCTCCAAAGGAAAATCCTTCTGTGTTAAGTAAAAATAAATTTCTCAAAGGAAAGGACAAATATTGAAAACCGCAGTATTTAAATTAAAAAAAAAAACAGTACAAAGGGTAGAAGTCAGAGGAGTGTTTTTAAACCTCTTATAGGAGAAACCTTGACAAGTAACTTGCCTTAACTTTGGCACCTTTTATGTTATCCATCTTTGGATAACATTCCTTTAAGGGACATCCCTTTCTGCTTGAAAGTTCTGAAAAACATCTGGCTTGGTCTGGTACAGACTACTCTTTCTCTGTGTTACCAAAAAATAGGACAAGTCACTGATGTCCCAAGATAATATAAGGACAGAATGTTGATCAGGGACTTCTCATGAGTGAATAATTGAATTCCAAGTGGGCTGGTGTAATGGTTAATTTTATATGTTCAATTTAACTAGTTCATGAGGTACCCAGATATCTGGCTAAATATTATCTTTGGATCTGTCTGCCAGGGTGTTTCTGGATGAAATTAACATTTGAATCAGTGGACTCAGCAAAGGAGTATACATGGGCATTATCCAATCCATTGAGGGCTTATATAGAACAAAAAGGTGGAGGAAGGGAGAATTTGGCCCCTCCTGCCTCATTGCCTGAGCTGGGAAACTGGGACACTGTTCTTTTTCTGGGTGGTCCTGGTTCTCAGGTCTTTGAACTTAGACTGAATAATACCACTGCCCCCCCGAGATCTTTTTTTTTTTTAATTTATTGTGTTATGTTAGCCACCATACAATACATGATTAGCTTTTAATGTAGTGTTCCAAGACTCATTGTTTACATATAACACCAAGTGCTCCATGCAACACCTGTCTTCCTTAATACCCACGACCAGGCTCACCCATCCCTCTACCCCCTCTCCTCTAAAACCTTCAGCTTGTTTCTCAGAGTCCACAGTCTCTCATGGTTCGTCTTCCCCTCCAATTTCCCCCTGACAGTTGCAGATGACAGTTCATGGGACTTCTCAACATCCATAATCAAATGAGCCAATTCCTTATAATAAATCTTACTCATTTGTTTGTTTTTATGTTTATAAATCATATCTATGTATCTCTGTGAAGATGTATCTCCTGTTAGTTCTGTTTCTCTAGAAAATCCTGATAAATACAGCTAGTTAACTCCTGAAGCCCTGGTCCATACCACAATCTTTAGTACTGGGAAGATGTTCATAAATATTTGCTAAGTGAATTAATTCACTGAGTAAACAAGTCACAACCATGTTCTGAGGGAAAGATTCATTTTTCCATTTTGCAGATGAAGGCAGTCAAGGAATTTAAGTACGCTAGCCCAAAATTTTAAAATTTCTTATAGACTAAGCCAATACTTGAGACCCAGTCCATCTCACAGGAAATACCTTGCTTCAGACACTATTTTCTCTCTCAGGTCTTTATTTCAGGAGAATTTAGTCTCAACATACCTTGAATGGGCTAAAGAATTATCTGGCTGTGCCATTAATCACAAAACTTATCATCAGCATTGATGGTAATAGATAGTTTTGGAAATACTATGTTCAGCAAAATATTTTTGTTTGTTCTAAATTAGCTTTAATACATACACCAGGAAATGTGACTTCTTGTTTTCTTCAAAGTCCTAGGACCAAGTAGGAAGACAGGCATATAAACATCATACCAGTTTCACTTTCATCTCTTCAAAGATTATCTATGTACATAACAAAGATGAAAGAATTAGGCCACCACCTGATGAGGTCCTGCAGGTGACCATCTTGGCAGCATTTTGAATGTTCTTTCCTACAGGACTTATCAGAGCTTTTAATATGCCAATCCTTAGCATGAATAGAACACAACATTTTCCAAACCTAACTGAGGAGCACGATTTGATGGAATATAAGCCAATGTTGTGTGGTGCTCCTTTTGAGAAATGTGTAACCATTTTGCATCTCTTGTCCCTGCTACCAGATTGGCTGGTGGCCAGAATAGAGAAATCACCTCACTTTGTCTTCAGAACCCACCTGGTGAGGCAACTATTCCCCATCATCTGGGTACAGACACCAATTTAGAGCATTTCAGAATGAGGACCTAGACCCCTGGTTACTGAGCTAAACAATAGCAAGAAAGAATTGCCTGTGGTTGTTTCAACCCTACTTAGATACAGAGCCTCTTTCTGGAAGGCAGAGCAGTGACAGAATGCATGCTCATCCTCACTCTCTCACCGGCAACTAGAAGCTTGACTGAATACATATGAACAAATAAGGTTGAAATAGTTTCTCTCCTGTCTTGCCCTTAGTGAAGAAATATGACATGAAGTCCAGTTAAGATGCTGTCAAGATGATCACCTACCGGACCTCATCGGTGTGTACGCACAGATTATTTGTGGCCTAATTCTTTCAGCTTCTTTATATGCATAGATCATCTTTTAAGAGGTATGAAAATGAAACAGATATAATGTTTATATGCTCACCTTCTTACTCGGCTCTAGGACTTTCAAGAAAATAAGAAGTCACATTCATGATATATGTATTAACTCTTTAGAACAGAAAACTATTTTCCAATAAACGGATACATAAAGACCAAATTATTTGATTGGTGCTTTGTTTTCTTTTTTAAATTTTGATTAAAAGTTATGTCACTACGAGGTATAATCTCTTTTCAGATATCACATTATGATGCTGTATGGTCTTTGGAGGAAAAGATTTGAGGGATGGGCATCTAGCTATCTAAAGCAATCTTGAAACTGCCCCAATACATAAATCCATTGGAGGAAAAGAGTAATCATCAGAAGTAGCATCAAAGAGACATTTCAGGATAGTCAAGAGGTTGTGAGATTCAGAGTCCCAATTCATTCTTACCTGATACAGCACGGTGGTTAAGAGCACAGATAGGCAGCTGGATACGAAGCCCAGCTTTGTTACTTACAAATTATTCAATTTGTAATAATAATTCAACCTTTAACAAATTATTCAAACGTTCTGTGGTTCAGTTTTCCCTCTGAAAAATGGGGTAAGAGTAATATCTACCTTATATGATCGTGAAGACTCGGTAGATGTAAAGCGCATGGGACAGTACTTGGTACAAAGTAAACTTTCATTCATTATGAGCAGTAACTAGTATTATAGCTATGTGACCATGGAAAGTTCACTCCCATAGATCTCATTCCCTCCCTGTGTAAGTGGAGGTTATCATAATTATATTGCCATATTACGGTGAAAATCAAATAAGACAAGGGACAGAAGGTGAAGTGTAAACATCACCTTGCAAATGTAAGAAAATTATTTTCCTGCTATGTATACAGCAGTTCTTTCTCCCCTCCATGGAAGGTATTTCCTCTTTGTCCCAGGGCCTCAGATGTCCTCTCTGTACACTGGCCTTTCTGGTGTCCAAAGGGGTACCCTCTTGCTCTAGGCCATCGGTCCTTTCCATCTACCGCCAGCCTGTGGTCAGAACTAGGATGCCGGCCATGACTATTTTGCCTCACCATCTTATCACTTCAGTTGATTGGCACTTCTTGTATCCACCTCCAACATGGATACCTAACCCTTCCTCTGCTCCATGTTCATATTTGCAATCCTCAGTCATGTCACCGTCATTTCTGCCCAGTCATAGCCTCGTATAATCCTGCTTCCATGCTTGTCTGATCTAATCTATTTCATCTCCCCAGTACAGATGTAGAAATCCTTCAGAAATGTAATTCTAATATGTCACTTCCCAGCTCAAAATCCAACATGGTTTCCCATTCTCATATCCCTTCCCAGGACATCGTCCTCAAAAGTCCCCTGCCTACTTTTCCAATTTTATCCCACATCATTCCAAGAGCAACTTGAATACACTAAGCTCTTCCCTGTCTCAGGACCTTTGTACTTGCTGTTCCTTCCCCCAACTCTTTAAATAACTGACTTCTTTGCATCCTTTATATCTCAACTCAAATTTTACCTCCTGGTCAAGATGCCGAAGGAGTAGCAGACTGAGATGACATCAGGTAGCAGGAGATCAGCTAGATAGTTTATCAAACCATTCTGAACACCTATAAATCCAACAGGAGATAAGAGAAGAAGAGCAGCAATTCTAGAAACAGAAAATCGACCACTTTCTGAATGGTAGGACCTGCAGACAAGTGAATCAAATTTTACCTCCTTAGAGAGGCCTTTCCTAACCATCCCCAAATGTCCGTTTTTATAGCATTTACCTCTTAGAATTGCCCTGAAGATTAAATAAGAAATGCCTTTAGAACACCCTTGACACAGAAATGCTCACCGAAAGTTGTAAATCATCATCACCACCATCATCGTCATCACCATTATCCTCTACCATAGTAGTCCATTAAGCTGCATGGAAAACACTAACAAAGGTGTGAGATTGTGATGTTTGCTTCCATTTCATCTGATTGTTACTTCCATGATGTATAGACCTTGTCTGTTTTGCTTCCTGGTGCCCTCACCTCCAGGTAAACCACCGGTCAGAGAGCAAGTGTTCAAATATTTGTTGAAGGAATGAATGGAAGTGAGTGTCTCTTGCGGTCAAAGGGGTCAAACAGCAGAAACCACATAAAGACCTAGGGCAGTCTCACCTTTGGGGCAGCCGCACATCTGGCTCCGTGCACGAGCGTTGCGCATGCTCCAAGGGAGCGTTCCCTCCCTCTCCCACCCATTCCTTCTCCCCCACGTATCCTTCCCTGTTTGTATTCAACACACCCTTGCTTGGGCGAGAAAAGCAAAAGACCCACAAAACTCTTTTCTTTATCCTCTTTCCAAAAAAATGGGCCAATTCACAGCTGCAATCTTTGGGAGAATTTCCTGCCTGGGAGTCTGGAAACTGCCAAGAGTGAAAAGCTGCAGCCAGCCAGCGAGGCCTCTGTTGTCGTTGGCCCAAACAACAACAAAAACAGCCACCACCACCACCACCACCACAACAAAACAGGCCACGTGTGCTCGAGCACACACAAACACGCCCACAGAACCAACCAAACGGACAAGGCTTCAAGGAGAAGCTTCTGGGCTGCACGTTCCGGCAGCAAGGCCTGTCCCTTGGCACGGGGCCATGGCAGCCCAGTTCCCAGCCCCCCACCATCTGTCATCAGCACTCTGCCTACTGTAAGTGTGCCGACACAGTACACGGAGGCTAACAAGTAGCAAATGGAGGGGAAGAACAAACAAAGCCACCACAGTCAGCGGGAGAAGGTGGCTACGGTTTTGACACAAACTGACAAAAAGCCGGGAAATTTAAACTGAAAGTTTGCCCTAAAGACTTTCAGCTGTGAGGGCTGGGCTGGGGGGAGGGGGTTCGCGGAGTGGGGCCGGCAGGCTGCAGAGGCTGGTGAGCCGGAGCTAACCAGGCGGGCTCTTCCCAGACCCTGTGAACATGAGACGTTGTGTTGAATCCACTCCCACTGTGCGTGGATTGCCCAGTAAGGCTTTCTCTTACAAGAAAAAGGGAATCTTTAAAAAAAAAAAAAAAAAAAGCAAAACTTTTTTCTAGTAAAGTTTCCGAAGGAAACATTTAATGAGGACATCAGGTGTCATGTAATGCAGATTACGAAGTTCTTTATCAAATCATCATTCAATTTAATAATTATCTAATGATTAAAATTAAGAAGAAGTTGTAACCTATTGCAATTATAAATAATCTGTCAAGTTAGGATAAATTGTCCTTGCTTGGCTGTTCACAAGTTGTAGTGTAGTTTCATGTTCTCATTCGAGAGACCTCTTGGAGAAAAAGATCAGGGTATGTGTCATTTTTCACCATTGATAATAAAAACTTTTTTTTTTTTAATAAACTGATTTGTCTTTTGGAAACTGCAGCAGCAAGAGAATTCAAGCCAGCTGAGATGCCTACAAAAATGCGCCTACATTTTTGCTTGAGTGGCGTGGATTCTGTTTGCACTGGATGGATGATTGTCTTCGAGTTTTCATTCCTTGTCATTAAATGCAAAGGCTCTTTCTCTTAAAAATCTTTAAAAAAAGAGTGATCCAGGCTACCAGGCATGTTATGACAATTCCAGAAGCTTGACATGATTCCCCCTACATCAGAGATAAAGGCAATGAGGCCCAGAGGGTTTCACATGATCCCAAAGTGAAATGGTGAACCTCAGAGGTCTTTGGACTTGAGACCCTACCACCCTTCTGTCTCAGACAATAAGATTCTGCTAAGTGGCTGGTTTCCCTTTGCCCTTGTAGTTCTTGCCAAAAAGCCACATATATTGTCAATTATAATTCCCACTTTTCAAAAAATATTAATTAAGCAACAAAATTGCAGTGAGTTTTAACCAATGTAGCCAGAAACAAACCAGCTTTCATTCTGTTCCCTCACCGGTTAAGTGTTAGTATTTGATCACCCTTTAATAGTTGATTACTGAAAAATAAACTCTGGAAAAGAAGTTTGAACCCCTAAACAATTCTGATTGACGGCATAATCGCTTGGCTCATTATCCCTAATCGACAGAGTATACATATATTTACAAATAAAAACACACACCAGATGTATTTTCATCCACAAGGTGATGCTGTCAACTAAAATAGGGAATGTGCACCAGTGTTGAGCATCCATCATTTTTAAGACACATTCACCACTAAATCTCCCACTTCGTGATCTGCGGATGAAAGCCTGAATGCGTACAGGTGGCTGTGATATCACCATGTTTACGAAGAAGGGTGAAATGCTTGGAACAGCACCAGCTCTAAAGTCAGGAGAATTAGCTTTGAGTGCAGGCTCTGCTGTTTTCTAGCGTATACTTTCATGCCTCAGTGAGTTCATCTGTAAAACGGGAATGATAATAGCATCTTCAGAATTGTTTCAAGTACTAAATGAGATCATGGATATGAAAATATTGTATAAACAGTAACTTACTAACATAGTTCTCCTTCTTTCCATATTTTTCCATTCCTTCAAATGTCCTTCTGTTTCTCCCAGACTTATCAGTATTTTATTTATCTTTTTAAAGGTTTTGTTTATTTATCTGAGAGAGAGAGAGAGAGAGACAGAGAGAGAGCATGAGCACGGGAGAGAAGTAGAGGGAGAGGGATAAGCAGATTTCCCACTGAGCAGGGAACACAACACAGGGCTCAGTCCCAGGACCCCGAGATCATGCCCTGAGTCAAAGGCACTTAACCAACTGAGCCACCCAGGTGCCCCCTTATCAGTGTTTTAAAAGGAGACATGACAGGGGCACCTGGGTGGCTCAGTGGCTGAGCTGCCTTCAGCTCAGGTCATGATCCCAGGGTCCTGGGATCGAGCCCCGTGTCGGGCTCTCTGCTCAGCAGGGAACCTGCTTCCCCCATCTCTCTCTCTGCCTACTTGTGATCTCTGTCTGTCAAATAAATAAATAAAATCTTTTTAAAAATTTAAAAAAATAAAAGGAGACATGACAATTCTTAATTTCTACCTTCTCTTCAGAAGGTGAAAGTCAGTTCGAAGGTGGGCCTATATCTGAGGCCAACCTGACACTACATCAAGAGCCTATTTTTGAGTTTCTCCTGTGAAGAAAGAAGTACATAGAAATAGCTTTTATTTCCCTTTCCTGTAGAATTTAACAGAACCTTCAAAAATCTTATGCAAAGCTCTTCTAAGAGCATAGTGAGTGAAATGAATTTCCAAACCATGCTTTACACATGTCTGCGAGTGACCAAAGTAAGTTAATACCTTATATCAATGTTCATAATATTCATTCATTCATGTGTTCATTAAACAACTATATTGAGTGCCCACTCTGTATAGGGCAGTTGGCCAAGTGCTAGGACGGTAGCAGGAAACACACAGACTCAATGGGGACAAGTGAAACAGTCCTGTAAGGAGAGTTTCTTACTGTGAAAAGAGAGAAATTGTGTTTTTAGAAGTGTTTTCAAATTTTTAGAATGTTTTTGAGTTTTTAGAAGATTCCATTCTTGTCAAAGAGTCATAAAATGAGAGCCTAGGAATCTGGGTCCTTTCTTGACTTCACCAACATTCACGGCCTTGAACAAGTCACCTTCCAGCTTTGGGCAGCTTCTATACTTCCCTGACATGGAAGGGTTTTCAACCTCTCCTTGCTTTGTTTGCTGAGTTAGTAGTACTACTTCACCAAGAATATTTCACGAAGGATTAAATAATTTAAGAAAAGCAGGTGTTCTCCTCTTCTGAAGTGTGTTTTTATCAACTAGAATGTCAGGGCAGGGAGCTAGACAAGGATTTAATCCAACAGGGGACTTTGGATAGATACAGCAAACTGGACTTAAATGGAAAACAGCTTCCCAAACACTTTACTAGGCTGAAGGCTCCATAGGGACAAAGATCAGGGAAGTCGTACCCACCACTGTCCCCCTCCCACCAGTCCCTAAAACGGTGCTGGCCCATGATAGATATCCACAAGTATTTGGGGAATGAACACATGAATGAACCAGCTTATCATGATAAATAATATCACAACAGAAAAATAATTGCCGTAAAATAAAATAGCAGCTTAGATAACACTTCCCAATGCTTTGTCAAACCTTTCGAAGCTCCCCTTAAGAGAAGACCATGATTCTACAGGGCTGCGGCACTGTGGCAAAGCCGAGGTCTGTGCCCGAGCAAGCTGATTGCTCCCTGATGCTGGAGAGGATCTCCAAACCCCTCAACCGTATCCATTCATGAATTAAAAGACTGGAGTAGAATTAAAACAGCACTTTCCGGAAGTCTGAGATCTTGGATTCTGATCCTGGCTTTTCCCTAGATAGCTATGTGGCTTTGAACAAATCCTCTACTTCTCATGACCTGAGTTTTCTCATCTGTAAACAAGAGGTTTAGATTTCTAAGGCTCCTTCCAGGCATAGGAATTTAGGAAGAAAGTGGAAAATTATGCACATGTGGGCATTTCTAAAGTAAAGCTTCACCATCCAAAATGCCTCTGTTACTTTATTAACTCCATTCCTGTTTTGAGCTTCGAAAATTGGCAAAGTGAGTGCAACTGTTTCAGAAGTTAATGTTGTATTAGATCAACATAGCAAATAGACACTTGCCTAGAGAGTAATACTTTTTGCCAGAAATGGGTTGGCTCTGAAAAACATTGCCCTGAAAAGCCCTATCCAGCTCTGTTTCCTCATACCTCTTCCTTCCCACAACTCAACCTTCCCCCAAAGACCAAGAGACAGGGGTTAGAGGTACAAAGCAGGAGGAGTGTCTCGTTATGGGACTCAACATTGAGTCACTTCTGCTAGTAGTTCAGCCATGGTATGTCAGTTTGGGTAATTAAAGATTTTATTTATTTATTTGACAGACAGAGATCACAAGTAGGCAGAGAGGCAGGCAGAGAGAGAGAGAGGAGGAAGCAGGCTCCCTGCTGAGCAGAGAGCCCGATGTGGGGCTCGATCCCAGAACCCTGGGATCATGACCTGAGCTGAAGGTAGAGGCTTTAACCCACTGAGCCACCCAGGTGCCCCGGGTTTGGGTAATTAATCTTTAGCCTTGATCCTTCCTCCTGAGTCTGGGAAAAATTGGAATGATTTATTCATGCATTCATTCCCAACTACTTATTGAGTCCCTAGGGAGTGCCGTTCCCCCTCAACTCCTTTTTGACTCGTATAGTGGACCCCTCCCCCTCTCACCCCATGCCACCATGCTGTACTCACTCACCCACCTATTGTTCAACTCACTTCCTGAAGTGACACCCCTCCTGCTAGCTGTTTCACAAGAGGAGACTCTGGGGGCATGTAATTGACCTGGTCCAGAATGTTTGGAACCATTAAAATTTCCAAGACCTGGCTAATATAATTTCTTCGGACCAGGTGAGTTACGCCTGCCACCTGCAGGGAAAGGCAAGGGAGACCAATCAGAGACCCAGTAGGTACCTAGCCACAGACAAAGGATCATGATTGCAGAGATTATAGACTGGCTGCCTGCTCACAATGGCTAGATTCATTACCTGGAATGTAACTATTATCTGCATTTAAAGAGACGGGCATGTTAAAGTTTTCTAACTGGCATTACTATTATGAGCCTGTAGGATTCCTGGAGCCATTAGAACCTTGATCCTACTAGAACCCTCACCATCACCACCATCAAGAATTAGAGCCCAAACCCTGAACTCTAGTCCAGTAACTGATACCCTACTCTCCATCCTTGCTTCCTAGCTCTGTACTCATCCATCAGAAACCCTGTTACGATGTTCTTAGGTCCCTAGGTCCTTTGCTCCT